TGATGGCTCACATTTGATCCGAAGGCGTGCGGTGTCTCGTGTACCTGGACGATTTGCTAATCTTCTGCGAATCCGCGTCCAGGCTAAGATTGCAAAAAAAAATTGTCGTTCACTTTCTGGAATCCTTGGGTTTCGTAGTGAACAGATAGAAGTCGGCACTCTCTCCCTCGCAGACGGCCCAGTTCCTCGGTTTCGAGATCGCACAGTGAACTGTGTACTGTGCCTTCCGGCCTCAAAGAATACATCCATCCGGAAAGAGATCAGATGGGTTCTTCGTATGGACACAATTCCCCTCCAGATGCTCGTCCATATAGTGGGTCTTCTGTCATCCTCAATTCAGGTAATATTTCTGGGACCACTACACTACAGGGCAACGCCTGAAAGCTAACGGCCTACGTTCCAGACAGTCCTACAACCACTGGATGCCACTTTAAGTAGAGGACTCCTACACATGAAAGCCTAGAATGGCAAAGCGATTTTTGGCTCCTCTCCAGATTTCATAATGGAATCGGACAACAGACTATGGGACTGAGGGGCTCACTGCACGGATTCCTCTGCGGGGGGACATTGGCGGGACGAGGAGGCCAACCTCCACATCAATTGCCTAGAACTGGTCACGGGGTCCTTCGCAATTCGCAGTCTGGCCAAAGACATGTCAAACTGCTGCATTCTACTCCGCATGAACAATGTTTCTGCAGTGCAATATATAAATCGCCTACACGGAGCCAGATCACCTCAGGGACCCACTTCACCTGGACTTGTTTGTCTCCCGGACCAATTACCAGCTAACATACTACTACAGCTGGCTCCCGGCTCCAAACTGCATTGCAGTGGACCCATTTCTTCAACCATGGTCGACACAACGAGCGTATGCATTCCCTCCATTCTCCATGCTGGCAAGAGTACTCTGCCACACACGAATCCACAAAGGTTCACTCCTCATAGCACCTCTCTGGCAGGGTCAAGTATGGTTCCCGGATCTATTGGAGATGTCCCGAGATCACTGACTTCTTCTCCCATCCTTCCCTCTACTTCTGACGGGGCAGAGGAGAGAACTTTATCCCCTCATCCTGGAACAGAAGCACGTTCTAGTGGCCTGGACGATTTACGGGGATCGTGGTCAGTCCTGGGCCTATCGCAAGCAGCTAAGGACCTTTTGACTCATGGACCCCTGGTACCAGGAAATGCTACATCTTGGCATGGTCCTCTTGGAGTCGTTGGTGTCTAGAAAGGGATTCCGATCCCTTTACTGCATTTATCCCTATCATCTTGAACTATTTATCTCAGCTATTTCCCAAGGTCGATCATATCGTTCCCTCAATGTAGTGAGTTCAGCCATTTCTGCGGCACACGCTCCCATACAAGGCGTCGCAGTAGGTCAAGATCTTCTGGTATGTCGTCTGTTGCGGGGAGCTAAGTTATCTAGACATCCAGCTCCTAAGTATTCTCGTCTCTGGGACGTAGAAGTGGTGTTGCGTTTCCTTAGAGATTGGCCAGATAATTTACCCTTTTATTACAGACATCATGCGTTGTGCGGCTTGGACACGTGAGAATACTTTTATAGTATTCTACTTTCGCCAAGTTTCTCATGCTTCTTTTGCTCTTCTTAACCATCAGCATTAAAAATGCTAATTTGATGCCTCCTGTCATGTGGTAAAATTGTAGATTATGCTAACTTAGTGTACCTATAAACTTAATTTTACTAATGACAGGATGCGAATATTTCCCTCCCGTATTTTTCTCTTCCCTCCCTTTTTTCTGTGTGGGATGTATCAGGGTTTTCTGTCTTCTGTACTATGATAATTTTATAGGGGGGTCAATACTCTATGGTAATTAGATAATATGTACTCAGATATATGTATTTACAATGTCAATAATGGTTGGAATAATGCAATTGTTCAGTATATGCGGACAATCGGTCATTTCAGATGCCTTTCACTTTTGTTTTTTCTTTCAGCGTAATTGCTAATCTTCTGGAGTTAAGTATACTGATTTAAACTTCTTAGAGCATTTCCCCTTCTGGATCTACGGAATTCTGCGTTGACTAATTGGGACATTGCCATACGTTTGTTTTAATGGTTTATATATCTTGTTACCTGTTTATTGTCGCTACAAAGAAAGAGGAAGGGCCTGGTCTTAAAGAGCCTTTTGTGTAACATCCTCCGTTTTTCTGATTGGTTGTTTATGGTTCTGTGCTGCTGGAGATTTTCAGTAAAGAGAGTTATGCAAATATGAAGCCTCCTGTCGTGGTAAAATTGAACTCCTCTACCCAAGTACAAACATAAATACACAATGCCCAGGCCATACTTGAAAACTAGAGAAATCTCCATGTATCTTTCCTGGTAAAATATTTTATAAATAAATAATAATTATTTTTTAAAAATACACATTATTATTATTAAATATAAATTATGCAAATATTTGCCTCCTGTCATTACTAAAATTAAGATTAAAGGTACACTACATTAGCATCATTTACAATTATAGGTATAGTTTGTTTATCATAACAGGTGGTACTTGCAAAAAATAGCATTTAGCAACCTGTCTGGGTTATGAAAAGTAAACAACATCTATGAACACCAGCACATATACATGAAATTCTATCTGGATTATCCACATAACATGTAATTAACCAATTATCCTTGTGTGTTGTTAAGCAATGAGGTAAGCATTACCATGAGAACTTGGTTTCTTCTCTCTCTGGTCTAGAATGATACAAATAACTGGACTAAGTGGAGTTATATACATATATTTGATATAGATCACTGTAATTTACATGTTTTACTTTGCAATCTCTTTCGCGTACTTGCCAAGGTAAGTAGGTACTGCACAACCTAAAACTTTTATAATTTCAGGATTAGTCCTATGTGTTATGTAACAAAACAGGCAGTCTATGTATAGGACAGTCAGGGGATTGTCTGTGATATGTTTATAAATACATAATCAAAACCTTTCCATTAATGAATTTACCTGACCAGGCAAATTTATAAAATACAAAGTAAGCAAAACTAGGAGAAGGAATGTTATTTAGCATAATATACTATTAGAATAGCATGAATAAACCTATAATTCTTTTTTTTTTTTGCAAGCAGAAGGATAGTAATCCATTTTCTAGGGAATAAATGTCAAGTAAACTGGAGCTTGTTGCAGGATGAGAAAACATTAGCATTTAATAGCTCAAACAATCATGCAAAATATTTTACCTTTAATGACACTCAATGTGGGATTTTACAAACATCTCTGTTGGACTTTATTTGCTTAGGTCAACATAATTTAAATATATATAACTAATTTATTGCTGCCACTGTTTGCCAATATGTAATATTATCTGTGCAAAATAAAAAACATTAAAGTAGACAGTGACAACAACCTGCAGCCTGCTTAGGGTACTGCACTAATGGTTTCCTAGTCAGTCAAATAGAAAGAATTTTCATGTATCAGGGGGATTTGCATAATCCTGTAACTGCTGCTTCCTTGTCATACTATCGCTCGCAAAAGGCAGTAGAGGTACATTCATTAATAGTGCATGTACATGCATTAAGTGACATATCTAAGTTTGTCAAATGTGGAATTTGAATATTAAAGACTCAAGTTTTATTGCAAGGGTGTCTACAGGCATTCAGTGTTTAACAAAGTGAACACCAGCTTGTTGGGTAGTTATGAATCCCGGTCATAGGCGAGCGCAGCCTATTGCATTAGGGTGAGCACCCTAAAGCACAAACACGCCGCATGTATGTATATATACATATATATATATATATATGTATATATACACATATACATACACACATATACATACATACACGCATATATACACACACACACATATATATACACACACACATATACATATACACACACACACACATATATATATTTATACATACACACACACATATATATATAGAGTATTAAATCCAGGATAAAATAATGGTGGATGGGCGTATAGTGTACAGAAATAAATGCAGCTACCCCAGTGCCGAAAATCACTCTAAAGGCACGAAAGTGATTAAAAGAAAATAAAAGATAGTGGGGGGTGCATACCAACAAAAATAGTAAAATATATACTTATACGTGAGGAATAACATAAAAGCAATCATAGCATAATACTGTTATTAGCAAGGTTAAGATCAATTACAGAGGTAATGGGTCACTCACAATCTCCAAAGCCACATCAAGCAGGCTCTGGCTTAAACAGCAGTTGAATAATCAGCTTATTCAGGCTGCAATGTTTGTGTGTGTGGTTTGAGGGTGCTGTGTGTGTAAGGGTGCTGTTAGTGTGATGTGTGTGTGAAAGGGTGCTGTTAGTGTGATGTGTGTGTGAGGGTGCTGGTAGTGTGCTATGTGGGTGAGGGTGTTTGCGTGGGTGCTGTTTGTGAGTGAGGGTGCTGGTAGTGTGCTGTGTGAGGGTGTTTGTATGTTAGGGTCCTGTTAGTGTGATGTGTGTGTGTGTCGTGTATTTGTGAGGGTGCTGTTATTGTGCTGTGTGTGAGGGTGTTGTGTGTTTGAAAAGGTGCTGTGTGTGTTTGTGAGGGTGCGGTTAGTGTACTGTGTGTGTGAGCGTGCTGTATATGTACTGTATGTGTGTGGGTGCTGTATGTTTGGAGGGATTGTAGAGGTGGGGGCAGATTAATAAATATCCCCCTCCATTATTACCTTATGTAGGGAGGGGGGATCCTTGCTGCCATGTGCCATCCCTGGTGGTCCAGTGGAGAGTGAACTCTAGCCTGCGGGGCTAGAGTTAACTCTTGCGAGATCTGAGCGTTGCCATGGCAACGCTCAGATCTCGCGAGAGGAACCTGGCGGAGCTGCTGTCTAGAGCTCCCCAGGTCCTCTCCTGCCTCCCTCCATGCTGCTGTGGACCGGTGAGGTAGATCTTTGATCTCCCAGCCGGCCCATGGAGGCTTAGAGCAGAGCCGGCACTTAGATAGCGCCGGCTCTGCGAGAGCCGACAGGGGAGATCCGGAGATTCCCACCCCCCCCAAAAAATAATATACACTTGTGTGTGTGTGTGTGTGTGTGTGTGTGTGTGTGTATATATATATATATATACACACACACTGACACACATACACTCTCACAGACACACACTCATACACTCACAGATACACACACTTACAGACACACACACATACATTCACAGACACACACATACACTGACACACACACTCACAGAAATACACATACTCAGACACACATACAAATTATTATTATTATTATTTTTTAAATGTCCACCCAGCCTCCCGACCTGGAGAGCTGGCGTGGACATGTTCCTGGGGTCCAGCGCCTGTCTCCATATCAGATGCGGTGAGGGAGCTGTGTCCTCTCTCACCAGACTCATGTAAGCAGAAGAATCATGTTCAAGCATGTCTTACAATTAGAGAGTACTCCTGAATGCAGCTAGTGCATGGTCATTAAAACAGGCCCAGTCCTGGCCCACCTTACTCATAGCTATTGCCTATTCAAAAGCTATAAAGAGTACAGAGGACCAGACTCATGTAAGCAGAACTCTATTGGCATAAGTAAGCAACATGTATTGGAGACCTGAGCTGGGAAGAATCATAGGGCAAGCTAATGTAGTTTTGTTTGTTTTCAGCATACCTTCCAGGGGAACTATTATTTCTTTTAAAATTTGGACTAACAATTTCTGTGCCCTAAAAACTCACCATTTATTAACTGCAGACAGTGCTGGCTTTTGGCCTTTGCAAACTGTGCGGTCACATAGAGCGCCATGGCAGCAGGGGCAAAGTTCACTCTCCCTAAAGTCAGGCCGTTCTGTTTTGCGGCCAGCTTGAGGAGTCCTGTCAGAGATTGAGAGGGAGCAGTACTGACTACTGCTCACTCAAAATGTACTGCATGCTAAGGTTGCCAGCAGAGGCACCACCTGGTGCCTGTCTAGTGGGGTGCCCCACCGGCTTCACAGACCTTATGTCTCTGATGCCCACGGACCAGTTTATTGCTCCCTGGAGTGTATCAGAGCATTGCAGCTGGTTAATGTTGCAACACTCTGATTCTTCACTAGTGCCTGCCCAGGGAGCACAGCACTCATAACGCAGGCTCTGCAGCAGCCTGTGCTGAGATTGGACCACAAGTGATCAACTTTACCCCTTCCCTCAATATAAGCAAGAGGGAAGGGTGATAAAATCTTTTGTTTAAATAATTTTGTTTTTTTTCGTGCCCCACAAACACCTACAACCCCTACTCTACAGTTCCTGTTCCCCACTACATTATAGCCCCCCTACACAGCTACACTACAGATTCTGAACCCAACACTACAGTTCCTATCCTTCTCTACATTACTGTCTAAACCTATCCCTATCTCCCTCTACATGACAGCTCCCAACCCCCAATCCTCAAACTACAGTCCCTATCCCCCACACTACACAAAAACGTGCACAAAAAAAGATATCCCCAGCCAGAAACAGGGCATACTGGCTAATTGACAGCTCAAGTCGGCTGCCCTATACACAGAAAAAAAGGTATTTAGCTGTGAATTAAACATTTTATTATTATTTTTTATTATTTATATAGCGCCAGCAAATTCCGTAGTGCTGTACAATGGGTGGACTAACAGACACGTAATTGTAACCAGAAAAATAGATGCACAGGAACAGAGGGGTTGAGGGCCCTGCTCAATGAGCTTACATGCTAGAGGCAGTGGGGTATAATAACACAAAGGGTATAAGTAGGGGTAATGAAATAGATTGCTAGAAAAGTAATCACTGAGGACTTAGTAGGTAATTTTTGCAGGAGAGGAGTCATGGGTTTAAATGATATACTTTCCTGAAGAAAAGTGTTTTCAATGATTTTATTGAAGGAGTGGAGACTGTGTGACAATAGAGAAGGGAAGGGAGTTCCACAGAAAAGGTGCAGCCCTGGAGAAGTTTTGGAGGCGGACCCAGATGTGGGAGTACGGACAGAGGACAGACGTAGGTCTTCGGCAGAGCGCAGGGGCCTCGACAGGACATACTTGTGTATTAGGGAGGATAGGTAGGTTGGAGCAGCATTATGTAGGGACGTGTAAGCAAGCACCAGAATCTTAAATTGAGCCCTATATCCAATGTAGGGACTAACAGTGGGGGAGGCATGGGAGATGAGGGGGGACAGGAAAATGAGCCTCGCCGCCGCATTCATTATAGATTGCAGCGGTGCAGGCTGGGAACACGTAAGAACACTGAGAAGGGGATTGCAGTCGTCAAGGCGAAGTTGGAAGTTCCTATGGTGCTTTGAGTGACCACTTAAATTGCATTTTTGCTTGTAGCAGAACTCTTTTCACAGACATATACAACATTATATAGTAGGTTCTTTAGGTTCTTCATGAGTTAATAGAAAGTTCACTTTCAAAATTATTTCAATAGGTCAAGTGACTTCAACTTGAAAAGCGTGTGAAATAAAGGGCAACAGCAATGCAGAATTCCACAAAGGCACATAAACTACTCGAATGAGAGAATCTGAGCAGATTTTACCAAATCATAAAATAAAATCAATGGAGCGGCTATGAAGTTAGCAGCACAGCAATGTAATAATATTGAAAGAAAGCAACTGCCTTTAGAGACAGCTACAATATTGGCATTCTGTAGATAAGACTTGTTTCATTATAAACAATGCACAATGCACATTAAAAGAACAGTTTAAAATTAAGTTTTTATGGTTCCAGGATGTTCCTGGCACTATCTCACCTTAAGAGGTTAAACTGTTCTTGAAAGGTTTAACCCTAAAGTTTTTGTTGCAGTGCCAAATATGCCTGCCTTTCTGATTTCAAGAAATTTCTAAACCAACAGGATGTCAGCGGCGCCGTTGCCCAATTCCAAGGGTATATTTCATTCTAATAAACTCTGATGCTAATTTATTCTAATAGAATTCCAGGGTTTAAAGGGACACTAAAGGCAACCAGGTTATTTAATATCAATAAAGTGTCTAGGGTGTAGTGGCCATTTGGTTTAAGCCCTTTAATGTAAAAAAATTTTTTTAAAAATAGCAGTTTAGTAGATACGGCAATACTTTGATTGAAGGTTTAAACTAGGGATTGACCGATATGGATTTTTTTAGAGCCGATACCGATAATCGGAGAATAGTGATGTCCCGAACGGTTCGCCACAAACGGTTCGCCGCGGACTCATCATTGAGTAAACTTTGACCCTGTACCTCACAGTCAGCAGACACATTCCAGCCAATCAGCAGCAGACTCTCCCACCTCCTGGACAGCTCACTAAGAATGCAGCTTCAAAATGGATGCTGTCCAGGAGGTGGGAGGGTCTGGGAGGGATGGTCTGCTGCTGATTGGCTGGAATGTGTCTGCTGACTGTGAGGTACAGGGTCAAAGTTTACTCTATGATGAGTCCGCGGCGAACCGTTCGGGACATCACTATCGGAGAACTTTCAGGCCGATAACTTACTGATATTCTGTACATTTACCATTTTTAAAAAAATAAACTATTTCCACACAAATCTACCGTTAACTGAACATGTTTATTATTTATTTTTTTCAATTTTTTTTTTTAATAAGGTAAATGCACAAAATATACATGCCAGTCTGAATTTTTTATGTTATCAAGAATATATGTGTGTGTAGTGGATGCAGCAAGCGTATTTGATTAGTGAATGTAGTGCGTGTGTTTTTTTTTTTTTGTAGTAGATGCAGTGTATGTTTGTGTAGTGTGTGTAGAGTGAATTAACTGTTTGTGTAGTGTGTTTATAATGAATGCAGAGTGTGTGTTTGTGTAGTGTGTGTAGGTGAATGCAGTGTGTTTGTGTAGTGTGTGTATATAATGAATGCAGAGTGTATGTTTGTGTAGTGTGTGTATAGTTAATGTAATGTGTGTCTATGCAGAGTGTGTGCTTGTGCCGTGAGTGTCTGTGCAGTGAGTGTTTGTGTAGATATGTTAAGTGCGTAGAATGGGGAGTGGGGACATTTTTATTTATTTTACTTTTTTTTTTTATGTTTAATTTTTTTAAATTATGTTTTAGTCCCCCCTCCCTGCTTCTTACCTGGCCAGGGAGGGGGGATATAGCATTCCCTGGTGGTCCAGTGGCATGGACTGTGCAGAGGGAGCCCAGCACACTCTTACTTCCCTTTCCAGCAGCTCCCCATCTAACTCTCGTGGCCTCTGTGCATGGTAACCAGTGGCAAAGCTCTGACGGCCGCGGGACTTGCGAGAGTTAGACAAGGGTTGCTGAAGAGAGCTGCTGGGAAGGTAAGTAAGAGTGTGCTGGGCCCCCCAGAACCCTGATGGCGGCCCTAGTCTGCATTATCAGCAATATCGGTATCTTCATTGGCCGATACCGATATTGCTGAAAATACAGAATATCGTCCGAAAATATCGGCCAGACCGATAGTCGATCGATCCCTTATTTAAACATGCCTATAGTGCCAGGAAGACAGCCCCTAGAGGTGCGTGTGCTGCAACGCCTGTTTCACTTGGTCATAGGACATTCGCCATCAATGAGGATTTCAAATGGCATCAAATGCAGCTCATAGGGAAGCGCTGGATTCAATGCTTGCCGTATACGCGTGTCTCGTCCCCAATGTGAGCAGCACTGAATTTGACGATCACCATGGAAGCAATGCCTCGAATATGACATCAGAGGAGGAGCGGCTGCAGCACTGAATGCTTTTGCTTTTTTAAACAAATTTAATTTGGGGGGCCTCTCATCTAAATAGTGACAAGTCCCTATACCTTTCGGAATACATGATTCTATTCCCAATGCTGTAAGAGTGTCCCCTCTTTCTCACTGCCTGTGTTGCACCCTGCAGGTTGTGCCCTTTGAGATTGCTGCAGTTGCTGTACATTAGCCCTGCATCACAATGCTGATTGCACAGAGGAGGAATGGACCCTCTTGCATCTGGATTAGAAGTAAATTAACTCCTTTTATTAGCGCATGGGAGGAGGCGTCCTTAAGCTAAATAGACTTTTAATTACTCCAGCTTTACAAGGTTTTTTCTAAATCTGGTGTGTGCTTTTATGATTTATTTTTTTTATAATGCATTTTTGTAATGTATTGACAAATGAAGTGCAACATTTAGGTGAATTATAGTGAAAGTGGAAGAGATCTCGACTTTTATAGCCTAAACTCAG